CTTTACAAATTTGGTGAACATGTCCCCACAAGTTAAATTACATATCCAGCTTTATGTGTATGTAGATACATGGAGAACAGATATTAAAGCTCTGGACATTGAGGAGGCTGTAAATCATGCAGCGCCTGGAAAGATAAGGGCCGTTTCTGTTTCTCAGGTATCATTAAACTACTTTCTGGGTTCTATAATACACATGGTGCAGTCTAAGTAACATAACCTCAAGAATTTTCAAAATGCTACAAAACTTTCTGATGTTTGTGATATGTTTATAGGTGTCACGTGAATTTCATCCTAATTTCTCTGCAACATGGAGACGCTATCTCTATATATTCCCGATTAGTGATGAGAATGTGGATGATCGAAGCGGTCAATGCATTGATAGTGATGGTTGGCAAGATGGCAAATCTGGTGAACACCTGTGTGAGGATAATGGTGTATCCGAAATCGACGATTTTGACCAGAGTGAACAACAATCAGGAAACAAACCACTCAATTTTGAAGTTAGCCGTGTTAACCATCTATTACAGAAACTGGAAGGAAAATTACTTTCGTTTAGGATGTTTGCACGTGATACTAAGCCCGCACGAAACATGTAAGAGAGATTATGCTTAGCTGTTTTTTGTAATTAATTCCTTTGGTGGTATCTGACAAAACGCTTAAACTCAGGTCATTTGGTCCTAATCCGAACCAATAGCACTCAGGCTTTTGTCATGTCTTGTTCATGTTTTTATCTTGTATGTTCTGTCTGTTCCTGTTGGTAATGCATTGGTTGTTTCAGCTGACAAAAATAAAGAATTCACAGCGTGTATTCTAACATTATGTGCATGTTGCTAGGCACCATGATCCATGAAGAAGTGCTAGTAATTTTTGAATTGGAAGTGTTAACATGTACTTCGGAAGCAAATAACGCTCTTCATTACTCTTTCATAATTTTACTTTGGAAACATGTAACACTCTTCAATACTCTTTCATAATTGTACTTTGGAAACATGTAACGCTCTTCAATACTCTTCCATAAATGCACAGGTTGGGGATCTAGCCTAACCCCCACCCTGAGTGGCTTTAGTTGGTAAAAGAGAAAAAACAAAGAATATGTAGTGATTGTTTCCTGGATGTTCATAAAAATATAATTTGTTTTTAAAATCCATGTTTCTATTTTATTTGACTTTCTTATATTGGAGAAGGAAATAAAGTGCTGTAAAAAAAATTAAGATCGATTTACAGTAAGTATGCTAGTCCTATGTGGTTTGCATGAACCGAAATCCACTTTTCATCATATTTCTCGGTCACCTCACTTTTTATTCAAGATTTTATTACCCACACCACTGCAGTGGTCCACCGACAGAGTGCTTTCTCTTCCATGCACGGGCTGCTGAGGCTCGTTTACTCAATGCTAAGGTTGGCAACTGACACTGAATCTTCTGCATTCTATTTTGTCCCCTACAATTCTGCAGAATCTAGATTTTTTTTTTCTCTATAATGTTTCTGCATCTGATAGGATGGAATCAGCACAAGGATCATGTGCATTGAGTTGGTCGCTAATCGCTTCTTACGAAAGGTACCCTTTGTTTCAACTTCGCAATTGAAATTTTGCATATATTGTGTATAAACTTCTTGTGACTGCATCCCTGCTGTTTTAAATGTCTTCCATGCACTTTTACCTCGTCAGTCCAGAGTTTGTATATGTGACACCAGATATTATGTATTTCTCTTATGTGTATGTCCTGCTTGCTTTATTCTTTATACTGGTATATCATCACATAATCGATAGGTATAAATCCAATATGTGACATTCACGTGTGCAAGAAGTGATACAATATGTTTTTTTGTTCCATTACTATGAATAGGTTGGTTCTAGTTCATTCTAGGATTAAAAAAATTCCGTGACTAATTTTGGTTACTCCAAGATCAGTCACATGGAATAGTAAAGGTAACCAAAATCAGTCACGGAATAGTAAAGTGGGTAGAACAAGATATCTTCCCGTAAGTTTTCATACTGGGGACTGGGGAGCTTCCCAAAGATTATGTACGAGTTTGAGACAGAAATACGTCGTGGAGAAGAAGCCTCTCTCTTGTGTGTTTTGATTGTTATGACTAATGACTCTCTCTCTCTCTCTCTCTCTCTCTTTCTCTCTCCTTCCTTTTCTGATTAAATTGGATTGTACTGTACAGATTGATTTACTCTTGTTTGTGAATTGTGATTTTTTTCACAAGACTGGTAATCATATTTGTGAAATGTCAAAAATACCATCGAAGCAAATCAGATCAAGGCATGCAACATTTTTTTGCCGTTTTTACTCTCCTTCCCATCTTTTCCTTTTCCCCCACATCTATCCTTTCTTCTTCTTTCTGCTTCGTTCCTTTTTTTCTTTTTTCTGTTTTTATTCCTTGCAATCTACCGGCCCGCGGCGAACCGTGGTCAACACTACTGTGATGGAGGGATTGGATGTTTTATTTGATGGTCTATTTTTTTTTTTTAATAATCATCTTTTCCTGAATAAAATCATTTCATGTAGAGTTTTGAATGTGGTTTGCAGATGGTCCGAGTTCTTGTTGCAACAGCAATTAGGGAAGCGGCTGCTGGTGCAGAAGAGGATGCATTGCTGAAGCTGATGGACGCCACATGTAGGCGCGCCACTGCTCCACCTGCACCTCCCGATGGCCTTTGCCTTGTTGATGTAGGATACAATGAGTTTGACAAAGGCTCCTGCTTAATTCCTTGATCTTATCTCTGTAATATACTTAATTTGACAACCATTGTAGAAATTGGTACAACTCATTATCGATTGAAATGTCGCTTGTAGAATTATAATGATTTAGTCACAATTAATCCAGGTCAAGTTAATAATAAAATGTTCCAATTTTTACTGTGAAAAATTTGTCTAATGCCTGTAGTCTTTTACACTAATATTATTTCTTCAGTGGCTGGGGGGACTCTGATGTATTCGTGTTGTTACGAGCAGCCAATTATGGGGACTGAGGAATATGTCTGCTTTTCAATTGCTCGTGCCCTGTCCGTAGACTTTTTATTTGCTAGTACTTGATTGAGTAGAAGAATCCAAACATGAGTAATCCAGATCGGCTCTTGTTTTGTTATCAGGCACGTTGTTTACAAATATGTCAGTCGTGCGCACCTATAATTCTAACTAAGTAGATGGTGAAATATCACACACCCATAATTCTTTATGTTAAACTAAGTAGATGGTGAAATATCAAATGAACTAGTTGTTGACTCGTGCATTTGCACTGAAAACCATATGATAGAGGGAAAAAAAAAAGAAAAAACATTGTAAAAATCATAACATAAGTATTGAAGAATATGTTAAGCAACAAAATATTTAATCTAAATATTATTAAATACTCCTTTATATACAACGTTCGTAGTTTTCTCTATCATCCCAATCTCTATCCCCACAAATCATTATCATCAGACCCATTCGATTCGTGACTCTAGATAGTGCCACATACAACTTTCCATGACTTGTGGGGATAGAGATTCTTCAATAGTAAGCTGACGTGGGACAGTGACTAGCCTTGACTCTTGTTGATAGTCATGGCATATGAAAGCGTGAGCGGAAATTGTCTGCGCTGAAATTTGAACGGTACCCTCAAATCGGATGATATGATTGTGAGCCTAGGAATAAGAACCTTGTCACCAACTCTGGCGCCGGTTAAAATCATGCATTCCAGGACATGACTGCTGAGCTTAGTGATAACCAATCGTCTACCTGTTCACATAAAAACTCGGAATACAAAAACATATCACTCAAATTTGTACAAAGATTAAAGTAAATATATATTATAGATTCAATTTTGATGAACAGTACCATTGCACAATCCCATGGAGTGATCAATGTTTCTGAGAAGCATCACTGTTGTGCCGACCTTAAGATGTAGTTTATGATTCGGAAGTCCAGAGCATTTGATCATGTTGAGAAATTCAGGAGTGTGAAGATCCTGAAGAGAATCATATCCAACATCTGACTTGCACGGGGTATCCGAACTCAAATAAGTCCTTCCCTCGGATGAGTTCAGTGAGCTCATGTACTCGTTAACGGACTCAACCACATCAGGTGTGGGAGCGAGTATGGCTTTGTCCTTCAGATAGCTAAGATCGTCACCTGCACTCATGAACATCGGGTAGGTACTCTCAACAATAGTACCAATAGGATCTCCTTGTGAGTGTAGAAGAATATCCTCGGGGATGTCGATATCTCCACAACCGTCGTTCGATCCACCGATTGTACCGTCGTCGATGTTTGCAAGCCACTCAGAGAAGCGCCTCAACTCATCGTACTCATCGCCCCCACCAAGGCTTCGAAGCCTCATATTCCGAGTCAGTCTCAGAACGATACAATCGCGCCACAGCTTGGATGAATTGATGGTTGCATTGACTATGTCGCTTCGACTGCCTTTATGGACAACGGGGAGTATCTGTCTGAAATCTCCATCTAACACCACACACTTGCCACCAAATGGAAGATTTTTCCTGGATGGATCAACTGCTTTCATTAAGGCTCGCAAGGTGTTGTCAACCGCCTGGAAACAATATTTGTTCATTATCAGGGCTTCATCCTAAATGATTAACCGACATCGTATGATCAGTTCGGCCAAAGGACTCTGCTGGCTAATATCGCATGTAGAGCCTTCCATTGGGTTTAGTGGGATTCTGAATCGTGAATGCGCAATGCATCCGCCGAGAAACAAAAGTGATGCAATACCGCTCGATGCAACGTTCAACACAATTTCTCCTTTGGCTCTCAAAGCAAAAGACAATGCCCTCCAAACATACGTTTTTCCGGTGCCGCTGTAACCATAAACGAAAAATATGCGGCCGTAGGTACGGTAAACAGAGTCCATTATCGAGCCATAAACATTGTGCTACTCATCAGTCATATTGACAACCTACTCCTGATTCTCAATAGCGAGTGCACGACGATCGTAATTCAACTCGTCCATCACCAGTGTGTTCGTGGATGCCTCATTACGGTCGAGATTAGGGAAAGGCATTGTACCGTAATCGCGTACTCTCGAACCACGTCTGAGCAAAATTTTTTCAACCTCCACCAATGCCAGATTCTTTAATTCATCATCACTCAAAACCAATTATGTAACAACAATATACAAAGATTATAAATATAAAGACATAGTTCATGAAGGAAAAAAAAAACATAATTATGTGACAATAATTGATTCATTTACCTGGATGTTGTAAAACCCTCCGACGATTATATAATATATCATCCGATAGGTAAGGCCAGTATGCTTCTCACACGAACTCCGGTCGACTAAGAGTATCAGAAGACAACAAAGTAGCAAAAAGGTTTCTCAACTAGCACTCGACCACTGGCTTGCCTCGATAATCCCTTCAATGTACTCTTTGTCGTCCTCAACCAGACCGAGAGAAAAACACGCGTCACGATACAAATCGTGTTGTACTCCCTCCAACTTCATATATTCACGATGGCACATTGCACCTCGAACAACGTCGATAAGACACCACAAGTACTATATGTTACCAACACCAGGGGGGACGAAGTACAAATGCGCGATACAATCACTTCTTTTCTTAGGCTCCCAACTGTTGGTTTTCGAGTGCAACGTAAATTTGGTGGGAGCCTCAACATATGTCAGTTTCCTGGCTTCGGGATACTTCTTGTTAGCTTCCATCCAAGCTAATAATTGGCTGGCGGCATTTTTATTTTTCTTTACCACTTCATCGATCAGAACTTCATCGTCATAGTAGCATGGATGCTCGTTCTCGAGGTGAAAATTCAAATGCTCCACTGATGGGTGCTTGTATTGAATCTCAAAATCCAACAACCGCCACGCAACCTCACAAGATGAGACATACCGACAATCATAGTACATCTTCTCCTCGTCAACTGGCCTGCTAGAGGACTCATCTTCATTGGACTCATAGAAGGTGGCAGTAACACGATCGTTTCCCTTGTTCACGTACTTGAACAAATATTTGATGGACCTTGACTGGTTTCACCACTCCATATTTATGTGCGCGCCGTACTTCAGGAGCACTTTTCTGTTATGAGGCACAACATATCTATTATCCAGGGGAATGCTATTTTTTACTGTGGTCCTGCCATTATCACGACGTCTGTATCGTGGATAGCCTTCTTCGTCAAGGGTCGTGGTTCAGAGAACTTTTTAGGAAAATGTTTCGTGCAACAATCGTTCGCCATACACGGGGATTTCGGGCCAACACTTCGGCAGGGGTCATGCATCATATGATCTCTAACAACGACATAGTAAAACAGTTCGGTGGCCTCATTTGGTATCTCGGCAGAAATTATTTTATCTATGCCATTAGTAGTCTGTATCTTGTATTCCTTGGCAAAGAAAAGAAAGATATGGGCATGCGGAAGGTTACACTTCTGGAATTCAATCGTGTAGATTGCTGCAAAAATTAATATTTATGTGAAAAATAATATAATGCCAAAAATATAATAAAAATATAAAGAAATTAATTAAATAATAGTCAAAAGAAATACCTGCATTCACATCTCCAAACATCTTGTTATGTCGAACATCCCTCATCAATGCATCCAACTTAGCCTTAAAAACCCGACAAATTATATCAGGATGATCCTCTGGGTTGAGG